TAATTGAAACTCTACTTACAAAAAATATATAGTACTATTTACAAAAATATACAGTAAAACGTAGCAACAATTTTCTATTGATATTAATTAACTTATCTCTTTTTTTTTTGTTGCTTCAAGAAACCCTTATGATTTAGGGTCCGATTGTTTCTAACAAAATTATTAAATTAAAACTACGTACAAAAAAATATACAGCAATATTTACAACATGAAAAATGGCCAAATATTTTTAATATAAAATTGTTAACTTATTAACTATATTCAATTTCTTATTATAATAAAAAAGTATACTAAGCAATATTAATAAATTTAAATAACAATCTCCTATATATATATATATATATATATATATATATACGTAATATCATACCCTCAATCCCATAAAGTATTGATCTTTAAAAGGACTTTCTAAATACGTTTTAAATCACTATACTATAACATAAAATGTTGAAAATTATTCTCCCAAAAGGGCCGTAACCTTATTCTAAGAACTTCTAACATAAGAGAATAATACCTTAACCAGAAAAAGCATTATGGAGTCATATCGTGTAAACGCATAATCGGCACTTTTTTTCTCGCTGAACACAGCGAATTAAAGGGAAGATGTATAAGGGGCAGACATTTAACTTCGAAGGTAGAGAAAATGAAAGAGAAAGAAGGACAAAGATAGGAAGCAAGTAGTAGTAATCCACAGCAAAGGGAATCTACACAGCATGGAATATATAATATTTTAATTTCGTGGAAAATCTGATGATGTAATTTCAGGAGTAGGGCAACGCCCAGCAATTGTTTCAACGGGCTTTCACTCTTACATTATTCATGAATCCTTTAGTTTTTCTCTCTCTCTCTCTTTCTATCCTTTTATATCTCCTTTTTTTTACTTCCCTACCAAAAGAAAAAGTCATTCCTATTTCTTTCTTTTTTCTTCTTCTTCTTCTTTCTTAATTTGAAGTTTAAAAAAGTCATTTAAAAAATATAGATTAGTAACATATGAAAATTATTTTCTACTTAAAATACCCTGATAGATCAGTAATGTTTAAAACAATATATATATATATATATATAATTGTTTGTATTTTTAATTATTGTACAAGCACATTGAAATATAATCAAATAGTAATTATTATGCAATAATTATTTACAAATGTTTAAATTTTTTACCTTTAAATTATACAAGAATCTAAATTTAGTTAAATCGTATTAAAACAAATTTCAATTAGAAATAAACGTCCTAGTTGTGTTGTAAGGATCAAAAAGGGATATTTACAAGTGCTAAAGTGTCACACCCTTCGTATCGTCTGCGTGCTAATTTGTAAAGAAAACGTACGCGCAGTGATCAACCACAGTGCTGGAAAGTTGGCCTCGTTACTACTGTAAATAGACATTAGCGCCGTTTCGTGTAAATATACAGTTTTCGCACCTAATTGCCGTATACGCGTAAACGTATCCAGAATCGTCCGTAAAATAAAAGGAAATACTTAAATGATCATCGTGATCATAATATTGATACAACAACCAAATGGTTATAATAATAACGTAGTACCCTAGACAATTAAATATTTCATTTTTTAATAAATACGCTAACGTATGTATTAGTTTAAATAAATATTTATCAGCACCGATTACGTAAACGCGTTTAATTACATGATGTACAACAGTTGTCTTATAATAAAAAAAAATATATTAAAAAATAAAATTCTAGAAATTGATATTTCTAACGATAATCCTAATAATTTATATTTCAACATACTTTARGATGAACTCGTTACAGTTCAAAATCAATATTATTAGATTACTATATTACTGTTAAATTTATTACGGATATTCATAAATAGTATTGTTTTCTAACACTGTAAAATATTTTATTTTATTTATGAATTAATCTAATTTAAGATCTAATATTAATTATCGAAATATATTCAACAAAAATGTTAATTCATAATTTGTGTAATGAAAAACATCGAAATTCTTTCCTTCGTATAAGTTTTAAATGATTATTTTTCAATTGTTTCAATAAAATAAAATATACACGGGATATAAATAAATTCTATTTAAACAATATATATAGTACATTTAATTAAATTAATATTACCTACCTATTAATGTACTTCGAATATTAAATAATTTTTATTTGGTATTTTATTAGATCAAAATTTTCAACTAAAACTCACCATTGGTCACAAACTTTAAAACAATCCAAAATATTAGTAAAGTATATTAGAGTATTCGACATATTACCTTAAATAATTATTAATTAAACAAAGGAAATATATATTATAATTTAAAAGTACAGAGTATAGGTCCAAGCGTGCCATCCTCTTCGAAATTCACTGTTAAACTGAATCTTTGTCATTTTTTAAAGTCATTCAAATTTCTTTTATTGATTGTTGTTTGTATGATTTTCTGAAGGTATAATTTAATAATAGACTAAGAAATTTTATACACAATTACATATTATAATTTTTATATAATGTTCACAACAATCAACAAAAGTAATGTTTAGTAATTTGGAATAAAATGAATGAACTTGAAGGTAACCATACGATATCTTGTAATTATATTCGGTGATTAACTTTTTTATTATATATAATTTATAATATTAAAAAACCATTCGTTTCATAAAACGTAAGAAAAATATCAACCCATTATTTTCCTATCATTATTATTATTATTATTATTATTATTATAGTATTTATAGATAGATATAAAAAATTAACGGAATTACCATGACATATGTTCCATTTGCAACGATCCGGAATCCAAATAAATTGTTGACTTCAAATAAATCTTCATTACCACAGCCAACGTGATAACTGTAAAATATATTTTCATTTTGTAATATTTACAGTCTAAATAAAAGTATTTAAATAAAAAAAGAAAATAATAAAATATCAGTTAGCAAATACATGAACTAATCATGGCACTCATAGATCTCGGTGGTAAAGAACTTCATCATAAGATAATAAATTTAAGGAAAAATTAAAGAAATATTCAATTTTATATATATATATACTCATCTTTTAATTGCAATTGTCCGCTTGAATTATCTTCATTAAATTCTCTTGTCCAAACTGTAACAATAAATTTTATATAAGTAATTTAGGTAACATTACAGGAAATATTAAAGATTATAAATTAATATGTTATCAGAAGTAGCAAATAAAATGTTATCATGGCACTCATAGATCTTGGTGGTTGCAATATCATCACGACTGATTTTAATTATAATTAATTATTTTTTTCTAAAGTAAAATTCATAGACGAGTATAATTGGAAATATAAAATGTACATGTATTATTTGTATATGTATTAGGTGGACCGGAAAGTAACGTCGCTTTCTAACCTTACATTCACACGAATAAATTTCTAACAAATTTATATTTTTAATCAATAATATAATCAACTTTGTTATGAACAACCTTTCTTCATCTAGTATGCAAATTTTTAATATCAAATTGATAAAAATCAATCGGTTTTTGATAAAAATATACAAAATTTGACATATGTAGAAACGACATTATTTTCCGGTCCACCTAATATTTATATATGTATTATTTAAAAACAACCAAAAATGATATTTACCATTATTTCACATATAATTCTTTTCTTTCTCTACAAATTTCCTTGTAGCCAGATCATGCATGAAACACTGTAAAATAAAATTCAAATTACTTATACTTGTATAAAACATATATCTTTAAAGATATTGTAATTGTTTTATATCAGTTAGCAAATACAAGAACTAATCATGGCATTCATAGATCTTGGTGGTTGAGTTATCATCATATATATTTGATTTTATAAAAAAAATTATTTATAATATTATTAATTACCATTTTTTTACATAAATTCCTTCCATCTTTAAAAGTTTGCTTCCTCTTCTATAGACCATACTAAAAATACTGTAATATAAAATTCAAATTATTTTCATCAAAATATAACAATTATCAATTAAAGATTATAAATTAAAATATTATCAGAAGTAGCAAATAAAATATTATCATGGCACTCATAGATCTTGGTGGTTGCAATTAACATCATCATTGATTTTATTAATAAATAATTATTTTAAAAAACAATAATTACCTTCATTGTATATAGATTCCTCTCCTACATATTTCTTTGTAGTTAAACCATACCAGAAAATTCTACAAAATAAAATTTTGATTATTTTTATCTGTATTTGAAATATATATCATTAAAGATAATAAAATTATTTTACATCAGTTAGCAAATACAAAAACTAATCATGGCATTCATAGATCTTGGTGGTTGAAACTATCATCATAATTGATTTTATTAATATATAATTATTTTAAAAAATAATAATTACCTTCATTTTATATAGATTCCTCTCCTACATATTTCTTTGTAGTCAAACCATACCAGGAAATCCTACAAAATAAAAATTTTGATTATTTTTATCTGTATTTGAAATATATATCATTAAAGGTAATAAAATTATTTTACATCAGTTAGCAAATACAAAAACTAATCATGGCATTCATAGATCTTGGTGGTTGAGTTATCATCATATATATTTGATTTTATTAATAAATAATTATTTTTAAAAATAATAATAATAATAATAATTACCATTATTTCACGTACATTCCTTTTCTACAAATTTCCTTGTAGTCAGACCATACCGAAAAACTCTATAAAATAAAATTAAAATTACTTATACTGGTATAAAATATATATCTTTAAAAATATAAAAAATGTTTTATATCAGTTAGCAAATACAAGAACTAATCATGGCATTCATAGATCTTGGTGGTTAAAACTATCATCATATTTGATTTTATAAAAAATTATTTATAATATTAATGATAATTACCATTTTTTTTACGTTAAGTTCCATCCTTAATAGTTTCCTTTCTCTTCTACTAGACCATACTAAAAATACTGTAAAATAAAATTCAAATTATTTGCATCTGTATGAAACATATATTATAAAAAATATAAAAAGATTATTTTGCATCAGATAGCAAATACAAAAACTAATCATGGCACTCATAGATCTTGGTGGTAAATATAATTTCATCATGAACAATTAATTTAGAAAATTGTAAAATTGTACTATATTCAAATAAACCTTCTTACCAATTTTTTAATGGTCCACTTCTCATGCATCTTCTTGTGCTATTTTTTTTTTTTCTTTTTTCAATCCTTCATATTCAAAATACTTTTGATAAATCTAAAAGCATGAAAAATTGTTTAAATCTTTGTTGTTATTATGAAATACAAGTAAACCGTATGTACTCACCAAACATCAGTTATAATATTAATATTAAGACAAAAAAGGTGTGTATAATATCTTAAATAAAATTAAAATAAACTTTAACAAAGCAGAAATGAGTGATCATTTCACTTTAAATAAAATATACGTTTACATGAATTATGAATAAAGAAATATAATTAAACATGAAATATAATTAAAATTAATAATCCCACATATCTGCTTTGTTCAATTAATTGATATAAAATGTTTTATTAATATGAAGATTTATTTAGATGTACAATTATTCTGTTTTCTTAGGTACACGTGTCTTTTTAGCTGGTAAAGGTTTCTGCGACCTCAAAACTGCACTTGCACGACGTAATGCAACCTGATCAATAATAAATATTAAATAGTAACAAAATTGAAAATAAAAGGTGTAATATGTTAATTTTCAATTTACCTTGGTAAGATCTACACGATATTTGTTTGCCTTGAGCAGTCTTCGTAGCTTGTACAAAGAACGTCGAGCTCCACTCTTCATCGTGCTTCGAACAGTAGCCTTTGCAGGCTTGTTCATTTTACTTGCTTTCTTATAAACGACTGTGAATCCTTTTTTATCAGGTGTATCCACAATTCCAACACTTTTCTTATGAACTAAACCGGAATAACGATAGCTACTGAGATTGGTCAAGTTGCTTGGTTCCTACAATATTGTTCAAGAATAATTATAACCTATAACTTTTATTAGAATATTTTATTATAAATTATGAGACACAGCGGATTAAATGTATTTTAAACAAACCGTGGAAAAAGGTTTATTGATGTTACGTTTCTTCAAAAGAAACGCATTATTATTGCGAATAATCATCCAGTTCAGATGGGACGACATTTTGAGTTTTTCTATAACTAACAAACATCAAATTTTCTTCAATTAAAATGTATTCAAAGATATCTAAATTATATTAATGCATATAACAAGCAAATGCATCAAAAGCAAAGATGCACATAAGTTACACATCGAAATACGAAATCATAGTAAACTAACCAAAATATGGTATATAAATAAAATTTTATATAAATTATATAATACGATTGTAATATTATATATTTTGATAAAAAATATATATAATTTGCATATTAAAAATATTACAAATAACAAATAAAATTCGATAATGTACTCACCACGTGTGTCGTTGCAGGAAATTCACTAAAAAGAACTTTTCAATATGGCGACCACTTATACTCATCGACAATGAATATGGTAGAGATAGAAACTACTTACTAGACTAACCCTAAAACTTATCGCAACGCCATCTAGTGTAAGAATAATGAATCATATCTTATATGCTAAATACACGTGAGTGAGTTGCATATAACAAAATATATATTATAAAAACATAATTATACAGAATAAGTAAGATCATAACATATATATATTTTTTATTAGAAATAATTATTACTTTTTCTCCAAAGATTTAATATAAACTTTTTCAAAAGGCATTGGCGCTATGTGGCCTTCTGTACTATCAAAATTATGAACTATTACCTTACTGAATTCCAAATCAAAGTTTACAATTCTATTTTTTACATGGGACATTTCTTCAAATTCGGCTATTGTTGTATCTGTTTTATCGATTATTAACTTTTCAGTTAAACTTGGATTTTCAGGATACATACAGTCTCCAGGTAAAACAGATAATTTGCCATCTCGTAGCATTACAATGATCTGAAGATTCAAAATTATACATTATTTCATCATTATGTCAACATTATTATATCACATGATTGAAAAGTTATTTATATATCATACCGGTAAATATAATTCTACTCCACGTTTACTTCTCTCTATTGCAAAGTCTAATAAATTTTCCAAACACTCAAATCTGGCTATTCTTGAAATTTCATAGTATTGTGGTGGTGCCATTATCATATTTGGAGTTGAACACAGATCTTTTGGTGTATCCCACTAAATATAAAATTTAATCATGATTTTTTTCTTTTACAAGTACTGCAAATGAAAAATTGTTTTTTATATTAAAAAATAAGTCTTACTTTCATATCTTCCATTTCAGTAGTTTCATAATTGGAATATGGCATCGATGGCATACAAGCAATATAAAAAATTGTATCAAAACGTTTTTTAAAATGTGTTGGTGTTAACCAATTACTCCATTCGTGCAGTGACCATAAATCTGGATAACATTTTAACTTTTCACACATTTTATAAAATTCTGTAGCATCTTCATGTACTTTGGTTTGCCAATCTTGTATATCTTCTTGAGGAACTAAACAAATAATCTATTCATTAGAGAAAATCATATTATATTGTAAATAATTTATCTGTTATAAAGAAATTTATATGGACAAGGTGAAAAGTAAATATGTTATTTAAAAAAAGCATTACTTGGTATAGTATTGGCCCAATTTGAAAGAATACCATCTCTTTTAACTTGCTTGCAAAGTAAAATACCACATTCTTCAAAAGTTTCACGAATAGCTGTTATACGCAATGAAATTTCTTTTGGTAATTGGTCTGGCTTAGCTTGAAATATTTGTGGACGTAAAGTAGTATTTGGAATAAGAAAATTGAAGCTGTTGGTGTCAAAACCAAAGGTACGAAACAATTCATGCCATTTTAAATCAGCATCAGATGGATGTATAGCTCCTCCAGGAAATACATAAGATTCTGGATAAAAACTTGAATTTCGATGACGTTTCAAACATAATAATTTATAATTATACTGAAACTATATAAAAATAATATCCATGTCAATAATATACTGTCTTAAAAGTTTATCATTGTAAAACAAGAAAAAGATTTATTTGTTTAATTATTTAAACTCACAACTACAGGTGGTAGAGCTCGATTAAACTTTTTTCCATTACGTGCAGCTAAAATTAAACTTGCTGATTCTTTCCAAGCTTTCATTTTTTGTTATTCCGTATATATTTTCTTTTATAAATTTAAATATCACAAGTAGATTTTTTTTACTAAAAATTAAACAAAAAGTTCATAATTACCTAACCTTTTTAATACTATGTTAATTATAAAAAGTATCGATATTTACCGATATCGATTTATATAGTCTCGATTAAAAATATACATTAAGAAAGTGATAAATTCGATTCCTATTTCATTATATGTTTATATAATACTTTTATGTTATTAAAACTAAATTATAATGAAAAAGTATACTAAACATCAAACACATATACTACACAGTATTTATAATTACATAACCAAAAAGATAACTTAAATCTCAATTCTTTTAAATAATATAACATTTGTACATCTTATTTGAAATAAGTACTAGAGATTAGTATCTTTCTATTCTTTACTTTACGTTCATAAATATTGAATTTATGATTTATCTGATTTATTTTCTGATTTTCCTGTTGCTGCTACCATTAATTCATATAATTGATGTAATTGTTCATCCTTTAATTTATCCAAATCTCCTTCTGTTAAACTTTTTCCTAGTGGTTGTGATGTCTTTGGTCCACGCAATCCAAGTTGTTTAGCTAATGACAATGCATAATCCTGTACATCAAGTAATAAGGTAAACATATGTCAATTTTTAATAATCAGATCAATAATGAACAATGCAATATGGGTAATTACAGATACATCAATTAGAATTTTATTAAATTTAACATAATCTATGTTACTCTCTCTCTCTCTCTCTCTTAAATATTTTTATATTATAACATAGTATTTGTTTATATTATAATATAATTACCGTCCATTCATTTAAAAAAATATGTGATTCAGTAGGATTGCACGTTTTATGTCTTCTAAATTCATCATGAACATAATCATTTCCAAGAGATTGCATTTCAACAGGTAAACCACGATGTAACCTCAAAATCATTTTGTATAACATTCGTACACGTTGCACATGTGTAAGAGTTTTCATAATTGATTTTAAAAATAAACAATTATTTAGTATAAATGTTTCCAAGACTATGTGTTTACTTTCTTAAGTTTAAATTAATTGAATTATTGTCTTTAAAAATAACAATATATTATAATATAAATGGAATACAAGTGGACACAGTGCATTATAAATGTGGCACTCAGTGGCGCGAAATTTAAATTATAATAAATTAAACTATATTTTTATTTCACATTACTATGCATTACAGATCGTAATATTATAATCATAAGTATTATAATTTATAAAGATAACAATTTTTATTCTTATTTTTTAATTTTATTTGTTAAAATACGAGAATATTATTTAAAATAATGTATTTTTCTATACTATCATTTAAATATATACATACCTTTTAAGTTTAATTTAATATTTCAAACATCATTATTTAATAATAAATTTAAATATATTTGGATATTCAGATAGCTGCCTTATTATATGATCTAAAATTAAATTGATAAGGTACCGTACATTGTATAATAAATTTTGATTTATTAATTGTCCTCGGGATCTCTGGTGTTTTGGATTTGCTGTAAATATAAAGAAACAAATAATTAATTTTACTTATTTATATAAATTATTATAAATTTAAAACAAAAGATATATTTTATCTTACACGATTTCGTTTCTCTCCATATTTGGACCAAAACGTAACAGCAGCTGCAATTCTGCGTCCAGTTTGTTTATTAAAAACCGAACAAGTGGAAAATGGGGGAGAATAAAGGTGTAACGATACAGAAGGATTAATAATACTCGAATTTTCAACTCTATGCAATCCTAAGGAATCTAAAAAATAAAAAAGATCAGTAATAATTAAATTGAATTTTTGTATTTTTTTTTTATTTAAGACAAAGTATTTATTTAATACCATTGATGTAACAAATCTCGTTGCATTTGAGCGTGCTCCTTCCAATTTCTTTTAATTCGTTTTCCGATTCTTTCGTCGTATCGTTGTTTTCTAAGATAGAAGGCCACTCGTACCGTGTCTTCATTGACAACATAAAACATTTATATTAATTTATTGTACATTGACAAAAAACGAAAAAAAAAAAACAAAAACAAAGACAATCATAATTTATAAACTTGAAGTATCGAATAAGAGAAAGACTTGTTGAAAAAAATACTGTTATTGAATATCATGGTCATTGACCACTTTGATAACTGCATTATATAAATGTGTATTTTAAAACCAATGTGATATGATATTAAAAAAAGAAAAAAAATGTAACAAAAAAGTTTATTCTGATTGTATTAAAATAAATAAATAACCTCCTGAAGTTCTCCTTGAAGAACTTTCATTACGCAGTGTGCATTAGCGTGATCATGAATGGCCGAACCATGACCTTCGCCCCAACATAACACCATAAGATTAAACCTTCCATTTCCTTCATCGACTAAATTCCTTGTATACCTATAAACAAAGAATTCACCTAAATTAGAAATATTCATACTAATTATTTATTTTTTATTCAACAGGAAGTAAAAAAAGGATTTACACCAAATAAGTCAAGTATTGTCATTGATATGTTTTTATTTTTGATTACTCATTGAAATGATTTTTCTCTTGATTCTAATTTTAAAATTTAATAAGATAGATTTAGAAATAAAAAAAAGAAATTAATATACTTGTAAGGTACCTGTTTTTTTTTTTTTTTTTTACTTTTTCTTTGATATCTTACGCTTATATTTATTTCACGAATTGTGAAATTGGAATTTACAAAATTGTTTGCCGCAAAGTATACACTGTAGTTATAGTAATTACCATATTTTCTTCGTAATACTTACAGTCTTTCGATCGGATGTCAAAGAACCGATGTTCTGGATCGTATAGAATGTCTACATACAGAGAAGGGGACATACGTGGAAAGTATGGGTAACGAGCCATTCACCGGATAAGTGCATTTACAGTGATATACTTGTACGGTCAGCGTGTACAATTTAGTCAATTTGTATAACTATAACTTTCTCTAATATTAATCTACAATTATAGTAAAACGATATGAGATGCACATTATTTAAACAAAAATTTTTGTTTACAATATAATGTCCTAATCAAACATATTTAAATATTTCATTTGCTATGACCCAATAACTAGGTTTTCATAATTAAATAATAATAACACTAGGAAATGTTTATTGCATAAATTTGATTTACAATTTCCAAGTGCGTCGCTCGTTATCTCTTTTATTTTATCTTGAAATTATTCTATTTCACATCGACAATAATACGATACAAAATTCTGGAACAATCTACGTTATTTCTCGACTAGGTCAATGTATATTATTCGTTGTAAATGTTTATTGTGTATGTGCATATAAGAAATATATATATATATATATGTAACTATTTCATAACGTTTGGGTTTTTTCCCCCTACTAAACTCAAGAAATATGATGCTTATGTGCATCCCTTATCAACAAGAGATTTTCTTCGTTCAATTCGATAATTCATTTCTCACAGATACGCGATAAAAATGTATTCTACAGACATGATTGATGATTATTCTCATTGGCGAACAAAACAGAAAATTTAACGAAGAGAAGAATTTAATGAATACAAACATAAGAAAAGAAAGAAAATAAATAAACGATAACCTTTGTTATGATCTTAGTCGTGTGTTATATTATATTTCGTCAATGTATCGTCGAAAATGTATTAACATATGTTTGTAAATGTTAACACAAATAATAAAAAAAAAAATAAAAAATAAAAAAAACTAAAAACATTTATCTCTCAGAGTTGAACCAACACAGAGACAGTAACGAATATCTACGATCGTTCTTGAGTAGCTCTGGTGAATAATCTGCACACGTTGAAATATTTTATATCATTTTTCTCCTTTATCATTATCTAAAAATTTTTGTGATCTTTTTATTTTTTCAGTTTCTTGACCCATCGACATTTGACGAGATTATTATAATTTTATCGGTTACTTCTTGAATGAAGAAGACTGTTTTAAAGTGTTAACTTTTCAAATGCAATATTTGAAATTCTTTAACGAAAGCAATGTTAATGATAGTATTGGCAAACAAGGTGTCGGTTTGATCTAATGCATGCAATATAAGACTAATGCTTTCAATCGCAGTTAACTCGATATCTATTTAATAGAATGTTTATAGTCACCTGTGTCTATCAAACTTAGCGTATTTCTTCCACTCCAATGGATTACTCTTATATGATTTCATTAAATCTTGAACATGATCGATGTCCACGTGGTCGGTCTTGAATGCATCGTGCAATCCATCGATGAGCTCACTAAGAGTAGAAACCTTCCCTTGACGAGAATTTTCATCCCCCAAACTATTATCTTGACAGGGCTCGAAAAATTCTTCAGATTTACGCTTACAAACGTTCATTTTTCTTTCTTTTATGTTTTATCTTCCTTTTTTTGTCCGTAATTGAATTTTTTTTAATCTTATTTTTAAGAATATAATTAAATTGATTGTAGAAGAGACACGTTATTATTTAAAATTTATGAAACACTTTTTCTTTGATTTTTAAGATTAAAATTAGTGCACGTTCTTTTCTTTTCTTTTTTTTTTTTTTTGTCGAATTACAAAGTAAAAAGAAAAATGATATTATTTATATTTATATTATAATATAATTANAAAAATGATATTATTTATATTTATATATGTTTGATCGTTTAATTCGCACAAGGAATACTGTCTAATGCGTATCACTACTACGACTTTTACTCGTCTACAGCTCATACAGGTCTAGTACAACTCAACTACAGCATCTTATATGCAACCTAAGATGCTCCCTACTCCTTCAGCCTGTCCATAGTCTGGAATTTTCGTTAAAAGTTCAGAATACTTGTATTTTTGTTTATCTCATATCCAAATAACTATATCTGTTTCAACATCAAAGTTTGATACGGTCATTCAACGATTACAGTTTACCAAATAGATTATGTGTTTACTCAACGAAAGAGAAAGTAAAGAAAAATTGATAAAATTATTTACATTTTGACTCATCATTTATTTAACAACGAACAAATTGTTTTCCTATCGAGATTATGATCATTAGAAAAAATGTAAGATTTAAAATCGATTTTATCCGTAGTTTTCTACAAATGTTTGCACTTAAGTTGATTCGTTTGCAACAAATATTGTATGCTGTTTGAATTTTATTTTATTTTTTTTTTTATTTCGTTGCTTATATGACGAAAATTAGTGGTGTCACTAAACTCATATATACCAACCGGTTTATGGTAATTTTGCTACAGTTATTACCAGTGTTCCTCAACTTATGAGAAACGTCAACTAGATTTCAAGTTTTTTGAAATATTGTATTATACGTTTTGATAAGACTATCTGTTTTCTATGCAACTGAAGAAATATCGCGTAATAAATTTGACCAATAATTTTCTTTCGAGATATCGTTAATACGTTCTAATGTGATTTATTATTATTATTATTATTGTTATGTTATGTTATTTATTGTAATACATGGAACAAAATTGAATGATTAAATTCCTACCTCTAATTGCGATAATAATATTTCTAAACTACGACAATATGTTATTGCATTATTTGACGTATGATCAAAAAATAAATAATAAATATTCGTACTTGTTTGTAACTTTTCAAAAGAAAAAGAAAAAGACGAAAACAGAAGAAAAAAAAAATACGAGCATGAGAAACGCGATAAAACATTTTATTATTATCGAAGTGTCTTGTTTAGTATTCAACTGGTTACGTCTTTTATCTTCGTACTTATTTATATTTTATAATAAAATATTTTGTGCAATAGACTTTTTATAACTTCGGTATAGTTTCGTTAACGGTCAGGTGGAAAAATTTTAATCACGGCTACAAAGTATCTTTTCTTCGTTTTTCTTCCGTGCATCATTGAATGCCTTTCCACATACCGCAGTTTCCTTTTCTTTAGTGCGACACGTTGAATCACCACACTTGCATGACCTCGACTTGTTTAGTTGTCTTCCACTGATACAGCTGTAAAATATTATTGTTAATTAATACCACGAAGAAAGTAACTATTTTTTAATTGATAATATTTTTCCTTTAAAAAAGTGTTAATAGAACTGGTTAGTATTATTTGAGAATATTTGATTTAAACTTACGTGCAGGGACAACTTTTACAGTAATAACATTTAGCTCGTGGTCTTTTTGTAGTTGCCTTTCCTTTTTTACATTTACAAGGTAACGCTTTACAGGAATAACAAATACGAGAAATAGGCATCGTTCTTCTTTGAATATTTCTGTCCGGACTTCTACCGTATCTGTAGTTTTTACAAGATAAACCTCTAACGTGCTCTACTTCTGGACTTCTCGACCTTTGTCTTAATATATTTGTTATAAAATTTTGATGATTTTTATTTAAAAAACAAAACACAATACACAAATCGTATTAAAAATAAGATAATTTACCTGACATAACATCTTCCCTTCCTCTCGTCATTCCCCACGTTTTTAGAACAACTTGCTCCTCTGCAACAACAAGGAGTCATTTTACATCTCTCGCAACACACAGAATCACTTATTTTTTGTTGTAGCTCGCTCATAACATCCGAAAAGACGCTTAATCGTTGATAAGGAAGTTCGTTATAACCATATGCTTTATGGATTTTACGACAATAACATTCGTCAAGGGAATCCGATGTAAATGCATCGAAATTTCTTGAAAAATATCGTTTAACTTCGGATTTGGGTTTCCAAGCAGTAACGCATATTTTTTGATCACCGTCACAATCGGTGGTAACGATCGGTCGACCATTATAAATTTGAAATTCATGACATTTACATATGTCAAAACTGAGATTGCAATATGAACATTTACGAATTGGTGATCTACAAATACATTTATCTCGAGGATATTCACAATAAACGCAAATCATTGTCTCGTTACATGGATTTTCGTAATTTGGAATGTAATGATCGATCTGAATCGTATTACAACAACATTTGTCCCTTGGTTTTTGACAATCGAGACACAATACGTCATACCTGTATATCATATTATTTAAACTATTATATTTTAACGTTTAATAATCGATTATTTTATTACCTTGAATAAATATCCGATGTTTGACAAAGTTCGTCGCAAGTCAATGGTTTGTCGCATTCACAATTATCCACTAAAACAGGACGACAATCGCATGCTGCAGGACGATCTTTAAAAAAACATGAAAAATACATTTTGTCAAAATGAAATTTTCTGAGAAATATGTAAATGTGTAAAAATGTTTTTTTTTTTTTTTTTACATTCACAAGTACAATCGACAACAGGTAGACGACAGTAACTGCATCTATTTATCGTGGGTTTCGAGCACTTTTCTCCGTAAGAATAATGATCTGCCATAGAACCAAGATTTTCCGGTTTCCTTTCACAAGTCACTTCCTTATTCGTAGAAGTTTCTTCAAAATCACCTTTAGCATCTTTACCCGTTAAATGTTGTTCCCTTTTATCTTTTTTATCTTGCACCTTTTCAAGTGGTTTTGTATCTTTCGATTCTTCTTGAAGCGGTTTCAACGTTTTCTTACTTGCCAAAATATTTTGCAATTTAGTTTTGGGACGTTTATTTGGATTTCCAATTAATTTAGAAGATTCTAACGTTTCTTCATCTCTTCGCGAAGTTCCTGGATTTCCAATATTCTTGGTTTCTAAAAAAGAAAAATAATAACATATTTAAATATAACAATTGAAAATTCCTAAATAGAAAAAAAAAAAGAAATTTCAAAATTTATTTCAAATACCTGGAGAAAATGTTTCGATTTCAGATTTGTTAGGTTGAATTGTTTTCGAAATTATTGGAAAATTCGTAGGATTATCTTTTGGATTGTTATCATAACTATCCTTTCCAGGATTAGTCGGTTGATTTTTATTTTGCCTTACTATATTCATCGCCCTTTTAAACGATCTACCCAAAAACGAACTCTTAGATTTCTTCTCCGATATGTTCTTTTGTTTTTGTCCTTTTTCTTCTGACATTTCTGACCCTTCGTCTTGTAGATTTTTATCAGCATTACTAGAAACTTGTTTTACCGAACTATTACTTTTCTTTTCGGATGAAGGAACAACAGTTTTTTGTTGTCTGGTTACTATCTTAACTTTGGGTATTTCTATGATATCGTTGGTAACAGAATATTTGATAACAGGATTTATCTTTTGTGTAGATGACATTTCAACTTCTGTTTTTGAAATGTCTTCTAATTTTCTCGAAAATTTAGGATTGTCCAGACTTTTCGATGACGTTTTATTGAAAATTTCATTATCTCTTTCTAAAGTATCTTCGTTTTTCATAACATTTTCTGGATTATTCATTAAATTCTTATTTTTATCATCTGTACTTTTATTAATCCTACGATCATGATAATTATTCATCGTTTCATTATGATCATCAATATTATTAATATTATCAAAATTATTTCGACAAATTGTATGTTGTATTGGAACATTGGTGCATTGATCTTCTAATTCGTCTTCTTCAATGATACAAGAACATTTCGACCATTTTCTATATAATCCTCTGGCGTGTATTATATCAAACGAATTTCTTCTTCCTCTTCTTCTGATTGATCGAAATACCGGTCGTTTTTTACAACAACATTCGGAAATATCACCGTAATAATCGCAAGGTTGTTCAATCGATCGATCATACGAATCGTGACAACGCAAACGTTCCGGTTCTTTAGTACAAATCGATCTTTGTATCCAAGATTCGCTAATTCTATCATCATCCTGACATCTTGGATAAATTGTTGCCGTGCAAGGACCTTCCAATTTGTCACCGTAAATTGTAAATCTTGGTTTTAAATGCGATAAATCCGAATGATGCAAGTCAATGTAACCAGATGCAGTGTCGCGACAACAACAACCATCTCTCGTTGATGAAATGGTTGATGAAATCACGCTATCTTCAACGTTTATACTTTTACTTGACAAACTTGAACACTCCAAATGATCATCCATGTTTGAATCATCCAACGAATCGTCGTATTTTCCCTCGCAACAAGTTTCATTACATTTATTGCTATCAACCACACACGGTGCTTCCCTCATCAAAAATGAATTGTCCGAATGTTCTTCCTCCACCAAATTAGGACACCTCGTTTGTATATTATTCGCTAATTTGTTGTTAGATGAGCCACTTGACGTTCTTGCGCATGTTGAATCCGTTCGTTCCGTTGTCGTTTCGGAACTCGATTCTGTGCAGGATTGAGACTTTTGTTTTTGTTTTTCTTTGCGCTAAGAACAATATATATTTACATAATAATACTAATTAACTATAATACCAACCAACCCCCCCCCCCTACAAAAATCGTTTCAATTCATTTACCTGAGTCTTATCGTTAGCTTCAGAACATATATAAATGTTAACGTTTCCAGTCATACGACGATTATCCGTTTTCACGTTTTTTGCTGTTTTACAATCCTTCTTATCTTTATCATGACAAGTATCTTTTACATTATGACATTGGGAAATGATCGAACCCTCGCATAAATCTTCTTTAACGTGTCTACCTTTGGATGATTTTATACTTGTTCCTCGTTTATCAAATTTTTTCGAATAATCACATGGATGAGAATGGTAATGCGTTCTTTGCATACACCTGTTATTATCCTCGTTAAATTTTCGAATCATTGCTGTATCCTGTCTCTTTCTACGGGGTGATCTTCCACGTTCCTTATATTTTTCTTCTAATGGAATTGATTTTTTTCCATCCTAAAGTATTAACAGATTAATGATTACTTTATATGTTGATTAATATTAAAATATTAATCCTTTCGTTATGGTATGTTCGTTTTTGTGTGAACGACCCGTATATGGGTCGCTAATAACAAAAGAGTTAAGAAAGAATTAAATAAAATAAAACTTTGGACAAAAATTGGAATTTAACATACACTAATGTAACACAAAACTTAATTCTTAAGTTTATCGTGGATACTTGCATCTTAAATACCATTGCACACTGCTTTATTAACGTCTGCATAGCTTCTTTGATCGAACTGTTAATCATCTCGTTTAATTTTAATTGATCTATATCTTTTTCAGATAATCGTTTTTTATCTATCTCTCGATTGCAAAGACTCGAATTACAATTTTCGTTAGAACACGTCTTAGAGTTGCAAGCATCTTCAGAATATTGTTTTTTCACTTTGGTTATACTTTCTTTGCTATCTTCTTTTCCTTGCGATTTGGAATTCTCTACTTTGGTTTCCAATTGTTTATCATTTAATTGCAATTTTAATTCTTGCGACGCTGAAGTTTTTTCGAAGGTTGGTATAGATGTTCCTCTTTCTTGATGCTTTGAAATTGACTCATTCTTTGATTGAGAGCTTGATAATTTTGTTTGATTATTAGGATTGTTGTTTTGTTGAACAGACGTATATGAATATTGAATTCCTTTTTGTTCTTTTTGTTTAATTCCAAGTTCTGATTCAAGATTTGACAATTTCGATGCTTGATTACAAAGTATTTTACCCAATTTAAACATTTTTACCTTTTTTTTAATTTTATTTTAAGTTGATGAAAAGTTGGTTAAAATTTTGTACACAACACTTGAATTGATTGAGATTTGTTTTCTTTTTAATTTTCTTTTCCACGTTCTAAAAAATTTCTTCAGGAACGAGTTAACGTCTACTCTCGTCGACATCTCTGCTTAGGAAAAATGATTCGACAAGGATATTCGTATTTTTTATTTATAAATTTGTTCTCTTCATCGTAATTTTGTTGACACATGTCTCTCAAATTTTTTCTTAACTTTTAACAATTTTTACAAATATTCATTACTTGTTTTCATTATCGGTATAGTTAACATTGTTTGAGTATTATTTTGTTATTGTTTTACTGTTAAATAAAATAAATGTATTTAAATTTTCGTTTTATATATTTATATAAGAAGATCACTTGATAATTTTTATAATTTAGGTTAATCTTATAAAATTTTGTTAAATTTTTTTTAATAAGAAAAGAAATAGAAATAAAATGGTAAAACAATCGATAATTTCTGACAACTTCACGGTATATTAAAATATGTTTACGTAAACAAAATAATTTTTTTTTTTTTTACTAGACTTACTAAATTTAATTATTTTACCAATCATTGTTATCTGTTGTATCATCTGATGAAGATGAAACGTCAGATAAATGTCTTCTACATTGTGGCTCGTAAACATTCGATGACATTTCATGAATTTCGGGACTTTTTCTAACACATTTTGTATGATGATGCATTGGCTGTGTGTAAAAATAAAAATAAAATAATCAACAAATACAAATAGAAATATTTTTCATAATTTTATATAATTCAAATTGACGTATTAATTACTTTAAATGCATTGACTATTCTGTGAGTGATATCAGAAACAAAGTTAGATGATTTTAGATTCTTTTCATTTGGTGGAAACAATTGTTTGACTTCTTTAGATTTATCTGCATTTTTTGATTGTGAAATTAAAGGTACAGTTTCATCTTTTTTCGTAGATAAAGTTCGTTTACGAAATTCTTTTGTCACTTCCTTAAATGCTTTAGTTTCTTGATAAGGAAGTTTTTCATTTTTGATTACAGGGTACTGCAAAATAATGTTTATTTAATTTAAATTAATTTAAAACTTATAAAAAAAATTCTACAAAATTTAATCCTATTTCTTATTAGAAAAAAAACCCTGTAAAAAATTTTAAATGTTTTAATTATAAAAAAAGAAACAAAATAAATTAATAATAAATAATTTGTAATACATTCACTGATTTTCCACGATCGCAATCAACGAAAGGTTCGCTCAAAGTTCGTTCTTTTTTCATTTTAGCAATAAATGATAACTTCCTACATTCCAAAGGATTTGAAGTAACACATCTCATAGCTTCCTTTTCCCTAATCAATCTCATTCTATCGTGTTCCTTTAATTCTTCGATCAATTCCGATCTTTGATACATAGGCAAATATTTTCTAATTACAGGAGGATGAAATTTATCTGGAGATGTTGCGGCATGATAAATATTTTGTTTATAACAATGTTCCTCGTCACGTTTGCATCTTTTCATAGTTGGTGATAAACTTTCTGTAGAATTAGTTTTATTTTCTGTACAAGTAGTAATTTCTTCTTCAACATGTTCTTCATTCGGATGATACCGATAACTGATTGAATAAAAATATAATCATTAATATTTAATTACCTAACTTATATAGTAATATAGTAATTATTAAATATAATATTAGGCTATAAAATAAAAATAGTACATTTATAAATTATTTAAATATAAAATATATTAGCTATTAAATATAATAGTAATATATAGTAAGTATATATTATATACTAAGTTATATAGTAATAAATAAATATTTAATTAAATTAAAAATATGTTTATATGAAAAGAAGACGTTACTCTTGGTGTCTACTATCATCAGTTTGTTGATCATCTTCATGTTGACGAGTATCACGATATTTTTTATAATAATATCGCGATTTATCGTCATCCCGTTTAGATTTACTAATTCGTGAATTATATTGCTGAAAAATTGGTCCAATATCACTCGTTTGTTCTTGCTTCGATATTTTTTCACGATCTCTTTCGTGTAAATCAAAACACGGTTTGTAATTTTGCAAATGTTCAGGATAAACGATCGGTATGAAACCAGAAATTAATTGTCTTTGTTTTTCTTTAGGATAAATTCTTTCATGCATAAATTCTCTTTCATTATTTTCAGGAAATTGATGAGACTCGTCACACGTTTTTCTAATATTTTGAATTAATTAATAATCGTGATCAAACAAATTATAATATACAATAAATTCTAACCGTTTGTAAATAGTTTTATTCTTCTTACGATTTTTTCTCGTTAAATAAAATTTGTCTTTCATAGTTAATTTATTTTTTAAATCGCGTTCCTTCCAATAAGATTTGCCATCAAAATCGTTCGATTGTTTATTTTTATGCCTGTTTGAAAAATAAAAAAAAAAAATATTGTGTTGTTCGGAAAGTAATTTCGTTTTATTTCTATAAAAATGAAAACAATTTTTTGTTTCGAGGTTAAACTTAGGATTTTTGAGTGAGTTTAAATAGTTAAATTTGATAACTTTAAACTATCAACGATTTCACGTGTTATTATTTGCCAATTTGCATTAACTAATTCCAAAATTGTGTTAAGAAAAAACGAAATTACTTTCCGAACAATCAACAATAATTTTATCAAACATATATATATATTTTTTTTTTGCAATTACCTTTTACGTTTTTTATATTCCTCGATACATTTTTTCCATCTTTGTTCTTTCGATTCTGTAAATCTGGTTTTTAAATTGTCATTAATTTTATTCAATTTTCCAGATTTCTTACGTTCATTAGTTCGTTTGTTTCTACGTTTTACTATTTTCGTTTGTACTGCTTTGTCATAATCCAAAGGATCAGTTCCTGTGTCAACTTTGTCAATAGTTTTCTTTCGAGTTTGATTAATATTCTTTTTCTTATCTAATTTTTTCTTCATCTTATCTTTAACACGATACAATTTTTTTTTCTTTGTTTCTTCTTCATCTTCCACTGTAACTTGATCGGTTTCTGTATTTGTATATTTGTCATCGTAATTACTTGATTCGTTTGTATCATTTTGATTTTTATGAACAATCTTTTCAATTTCATTAGTTGAGTTTTGATTTTTCTTCATTTTATCGGCTCTTTCATTTATAATATTTACATAAGTATGTTTAGATGATCGAAGATCATAATTCTAAAAATATGACAGATTAGCAGGCTTAATGAGGTTCATCAAATTATATTTTTTATTTATTATTATCTCACTTGTGAATCATCTTCACCAATGATATTCCACGTATCAGTTTTTCGACTGTTAGATGACGTTCTTGCATCGGATAAAATGTTAATGTCATTTCCTTTACGAACACATTTACAAGATGATTGTGAATCCCCAGTTTCATCGATTTCATAATAAGACACACACTTTGAAATTGGTTCTAAATGTCTGAGAATCAAAAATTCCCATTAAAATGAAAATCAAATGAACATTTTCAAATAATTTTGTTAATGAAAATCCATTTACCTTGGTAAATCTTTTGTAATAAATTTTGTTTCACAAGGATATTGCCAATTATTATCATCCACTTTACGAGTGGAATAAAGAATCTTTCCTTTTTTATCATTTTTAGCATGAATTATATCCTCAGGATCCTCCCATTCAATGTTACGATGAGTTCTTCTTGATTTGAGTATACATTTTTTCGCTTGATTTTTATTTATTAAATAAGATCCGTCATTATCGTCACTTAACGTTGACGTTGACGATAATATTTCTTCCAAATGTTTTCTTTTACATTTTATACGTCTGTAAGTTTGTACAGGTGAATTTGATCTACCTTTAACGTTCAACATTTTAATTATTCGTTTGATCAATGATTGTCTACGTGGTTGCAATCCTTTTCTTCCCTTTAAAATGAAAAAAAAAAAAAAAACATGTTTTGTTCATACTTATTATTAATTTATTTTTATATTAATTTTATATTAATATATTATAATATAAATAATATAAATATATTATAACATATTAATTAAAATTAATATAATGTATAATATTAATAATATTATAAATATAAAATAAATATTTATATAAATAATTTTATAATTAATTTGATGATTTGTAACATATGATACTCACGCTACTACCAAGCCATGGAATTTTGGTCAATGCTGCAATTATTTGTTTAACCCGATTTTGTCCTTTACTTTCATATTTATTTTTAATTAATAATTCTCTGGAACCATCATCATTCGTTAATTCAATGTGTATCACTTCATCCTCATTTATTTCCTCGCTTGGACAATATTCAGAATTTGTTAATGAACTTGACGAATTACTATCATCACATGGAAACAAAGTACGTGGTTTTTTCTTTAATCTACTTCGAACTTTTCTATGTGCTCTTACAACGAAACAAGATGGTGTTGTATCACTGCTCAATGTTATACTTTTAGCAATTGGATCGTTAAATATCTAAATTGAATTTTTCAAGATTATTACAAAGAATTTTATTTTTCATTGATTTTATTTATACAAATTGAACCTGAATGGTAACGTCATCTCGTATTTTTTGAGCTTCCAAATCTTTGAATGGTAATTTTCGTTGACAAATTTCTGGTTCTCGGGTCAAATCATCTTGGTAACCTAATTTTATACTAATTATATTTGATTACAGATTTATTTTATTTTTATATTTAGAATAATTTAATTTACTGTAAGAATAAGTTGAAGTAGAACTGGTTTCATCGGAATCTTCGAATTCTTTTTCATCAGTTTGTTCTCCTACATCTTTCGTTTCAATTTTTTTTAATTCTTCTATACCATCTTCCTCTTCTTCTTCTTCTTCTTCTTCTTCTTCTTCTTCTTCTTCTTCTTCTTCTTCTTCTCTTATCATTTTTTTCTCTTCCTCTTTTTTCTTTCTTTCAATCTCAACTAATTTTAATTTTTTTTCGTGAGCAATTTTTAATTGATCGTCCGATGAATCTCTGTTACATAAAATACTTTTCTTTCAAATTTAATTTACAATATTTATTTTATACAACTACGGTTTTTAGAATTTAATTAAAATAATAAATATTATTAATATTATTATCATTATTATTTAAAAATTGTTTTAATTTTTATTTCAACCTTTACATTGTATTTAACATTGTCTAAGTTTAATTACAAAAAGAAAAGAAATAAATTTAATATTAATAATATTATTAATATTAATATATTATAATTAATTGTATAATAATTACAATTTAAAAATATCTACGTTTAGTTATAAAAAAAAATTTAATATTAATAATATTAATATTAAATAATTAAATATAATAATAAATAAAATCATACATTTCCTCGCTCATATCCGATAAATCACCGTATTCCAATGGCGATTGACAAATCGTACAAATATTTTGTAAATCCTTAAAACATTCTAAACAAAATAATCCAATGCAACCTGGTGTTGGACATTTAACGTGAGTATTGTCGTCATATTTAACAGCACCACACAATAAACATGTTTCTTCCTTTTGTGGAAAGCATAATTTTAAAAATGGACAAATTGCCATAAAACGTTGCTTCAACGTAATCCTTTCTATGGTATCACCACTGATACTATATTTTCTACGTAATTGTCGTCTAGCGTATTTAACAAAACTACCTCTTGAACTAATCAAATTAGAATTCATTTTAATTTATAAAAATATAATATCAAATTCAATTGTGTCAACGTATTGTCAATACAATACAAATGTGTCTATGTTTTGAATTTAATTAAAAATCTCTAATCGTATCAACGTTTATTTTTTAATTAACAAATGTGTGTATGTGTATTTTGAATTAAATGAAATCATTTATTACCGCATTATGTGATTGTAAAGCCAAGTAGCACGTTGTTTTGCTCTGTCAGGATGATACTGACACATTACAATCTGTCTCAATCGAAGACTATAAGGTTCAAAAATTGTCATAATCCAACAAAAAAATACCAAAGATAAAATTCTGATATATCCATCGTAATTAGGTGGTATTGGATCAGGTAAACACGGAACTGAACTTATTTCGATATCTTTGATATGTGGTGTAAATGCTTTAACAATACTTCTGTATAATTCAGCAAGAAAACCTGTTCCTGAAACGTATACTCCAACAGAATTTGGCTGATCTATCTACAAATAATTAAAATATTTGATTAATTAATTAGATTTTGGATTAATATATCATTTAGTGAAAAGATAATTAGAAATACCTGTGTTTCGATACGACCATGATATCTAATTAAATTGAGTATCCAATAAAGACTGTAATCAGAAACAATATGCATACAAATTTTCATAGTAGATAAAGATAAAAATATTGCTGATTTTGCTAATTTAATTCTTTCTATTTTAATTAATCTAATAGACGTGACAGATACATAACGATTTCTTTCACGATGATTCAATGGTAATATCGTTTCCTTATCTTGTTTTGCTCTTATCAAATCAATCGTACGAATATCATCTGTAATATATCTATTGTCAAATCTTTCGCTAGTTAACCATTTATGTCGATAATGCAACACTCTGAAATATATAAATATAAGGAAAGAATTAATTCAATAATTTTTTATCATATTATACAATATATGAATTGTAAAGTAAAGAAAAGAAATGTTTATTACCTGAGTAACATGAAAAATATAAAGAAAGCTGTTAAACAATTGACCCAATCGAAAACTGCAATAAATCTTTCTGTTCTTGAATTAATTTCAGCTGCAATGTCTGTAGATATTTCGTGAATAGTTTTAGTTTTATTTGTTACAAAATGAAACGAATGAGAAAATTTGACTTTTACGTAAAACATCGTTTTCATGTGTCGAGTAAATTTTCTTATTTCTGTAATTTATTAATAGAAAATAATAAACGTGTAAATGAAATCTGATAATGATCAAGTGATGAAATCATAAAAATTTACTTTTTTTTACTGCACCAACTATAGTATCGGCTATGTATGAAACTAACATACAAATAAAATCTAATGGTTTAACGATCCAACAAATGACACTCACGATATACGCGAGATCACAAATTCCACCAAAAAATGGGCCAAGTTTGGCTCGACAATCGGCAACGGCACCTTCGAAAACTCTTTGACATCTTTCGAAAGGTGTGCCTAATTTTTTGTTACATATGTTCACTACACTACCCAGCCATTGAAATACTGCGGTTATTACTTTGACTGTCAATAAAAATGTCATGATCAAAAAACATCTATTATAATTAAAAGTTATAAGAATATTACAATTATTATAATATATATATATATTAAGTTATATAAAAAAATATTTATTATATTTAAAAGTTGTTTTCATTTTTAGTTGTATTTTTTCCTTAATTTGTTAGAAAAAAGAAAAATTTCATTTTGTTAATTTACTTATACTAAGAACGAGTCTTTTTATTGCAATGAAAGTTTTTTTAATCCTCGATACGATAATTCTCACTGCTTTGACTACTTTCATGATAGCTTCTTTCAAAGCATAAAACGGTTCCTTTAATATATCCAAAACGGATTTAACAGCTTCTTTCAATTGTTCCTATAAATTATTGCATAATTATTTTATTATTAATAAATAACAGTTTTTGCTTGTATTGTGTATCAAATTAATCATAGAATTGTACCTGACCACAGACCAAAGATTCCGTAAGTACGCTTACATTTCTTAATACATTTTTTCCTGGTCCAGTTAGTGTTAAAATAAAAGCGTATGCGATCAGTGCTTGTCTGCCACGTTTTGAAAAAAATTGTGGTAATAATAAAAATACAACGCATCTGTTTAAAAAGTAAATAAACATATGTGAATTGTCTAATTTATTTTTTTTAGGTCGTGCAAACAATTTTTATTTAAAAAAAATATATTTTATATATATATATTGAAATATTACCAAGGTGGGTTGAAAAGTTTTGAACTTATACATTGTTTCTATAGTATATTAAACATTTTTTAACTCACATACGTACTGTAAAATTGAATACTAACCGAACTCCAGAAAAAAATGATAATCCCAGAGTTAATATTACTCCAATAATCGAGCATAATAGTGTTGCCGATGTTAATGAAAAATTTAATTGTACAACAAAAAACAAGAAGAATAAATATGTGAGAAAGATACCACCGAAAAATCCAAATATACTTTTTAATATGTAATTTTCAAAGGTACCATTGGTACACAATAAAACAGCTTTTTTCTGAAACCACGAATCTTCCGGAAAACTTGTTACACTTTTCCAAAAGTTTTTCACTTTTCTTTTCAATCTGTGAAACAAATATGTTTTTGAAATAACGTATGAGTAATATAAGTTTTTATTTACGATAGTTCTTAACATTTCTAGATTGATTTTAAAGATGAGAATTCACAGAGTAGAGGGAACGAAACTTACCGCAATTTTTTTCGACGAAATCTTTGACTCCAAGTTAAACTTTTAGCACCTTTCGTAAGCTCGATCGATCGCAATTTTTCCAACTCGTATGAACGACGAAGTTTTTCCAAACGATGAGCTTTCAGTACCAATTGGAAAAAAGCCATGTTACTTTATACGATCAAATGTGTTTAATAAATTATACTGTACGATATTATTTATAAATCTTCGTTGAATTTTTTTAGATTTCTCATTAAATTATATGACATTTTTCACATTTATTCGAATTATTGAAATAACGTTATATATTATTAAATTAAGTAACTTATTTTTTATTGTTAATTAATATTATTGATTAACCTATTAATATTAACTAACTTTGACAGATAAATATGGTTAGTATGTTACTGCATGCCGACGAGTAAACAACTCAACACCTCAAAATAATGTTTACCTTTCATCAAGCATATGTCAAATTAACAATTATAATAATTAAAAAGAAAATTGTTACAACAATATTCAAATTGTTGAATGTTAAAATTCAATAAGGATTTGAATATTATATTTCTAATATTGTATAAAGATTTTTTTTTGAATATTGTATAAATACTTATATTTGAATATTATTTTTTAATTTGAGAATTTAGAATTGAGAAATTAATTTCAAGATTAAACGGCATCTTTATTTATCATCTTTAATTGCAAATATCTAAAAAATTATTTAATATTGGCCCTTATAAACATATATATTCATGAACAAGAAAGACATGACTATTATCCTATAAAATTTGAACCAAATCCGTGAGAAAAAGACCTTTCATACCCCTTGTCTGTTTTAGTTACAAATAAAATTATATTATTTATGCTTAAATCCGAAAATTATAATCTTGAGTTTTCTTTATTAGAATTATAATTAACGTTGAACACATGATCAACATATATGAAGTCATATAAACAACTTTCTAATCAATGTTTTGTTTTAGAGAACAACGGCTCAGTCTATAAGTGAATTTCGAAGAGGAAGGTACTCCGAAAATAAATTTCGTACTTTTAAACAATAATCGATACTTCTATCGATTAATTAACAATGATTTTAATATTCTAATACGCTTTACTAATATTACAGGATATTTTTGTCCTGAGAGTGATTTCTGCGCAGGGACAATAAAATAATTGCATTAGAATAAAAAGAATGTTAAAATCCAAACGTTATAATCTTGAATTTTCTTTATTAGAATTTTCATTACCGTTGCAGAAGTAATCAACATAAGAAAAATCATAAACAACTTTCTAATCAAAGTTTTGTTTTAGAGAACAACAGCTCAGTCTATAAGTGAATTTCGAAGAAGAACGTATTCCGAAAATATATTTCGTACTTTTAAACAATAATCGATACTTCTATCGATTAATTAACAATTAATTTAATATTCTAATATACTCTACTTACATTACAAATAATTTAACACTTGGAATTTCATTAATGTGCATGAACAATAAATTAATTATATTAGAATAAATAAAATAATAAAATCTGTACGTTGTAATATTGAATTTTGTATATTAGAATTATAAGTACCGTTGGATACATGCTTAAAATAAAAAACAAAAACATAAACAACTTTCTAATTCATGTTTTGTTATAGAGAATAACGGTTAAGTCTATAAGTGAATTTCGACGAGGAAGGTACTCCGAAAAAATATTCCGTACTTTTAAACAATAATCGATACTTGCATTGATTATTTAATAATTATTTAATTATTCTAATACACTTTACTTATATTACAGGATATTTTTGTCCTGGAAGTGATTTCTGCGCAGGGACAATAAAATAATTGCATTAGAATAAAAAGAATGTTAAAATCCAAACGTTATAATCTTGAATTTTCTTTATTAGAACTTTCATTACCGTTGCAGAAGTAATCAACATAGAAAAAATCATAAACAACTTTCTAATCAATGTTTTGTTTTAGAGAATAACAGCTCAGTCTATAAGTGAATTTCGAAGAAGAAGGTACTCCGAAAATATATTTCGTACTTTTAAACAATAATCGATATTTTTATCCATTAATTAACAATTACTTTAATACTCTAATACACTTTACTTGTATTACAGCACAATTTAACCCAGAAAGAGTCATCACTGGGTGGGTGCGATAAAATAATTATATTAGAATAAAAGGAATGTTAAAATCCGAACGTTAAAATATTGAATTTTCATTATTAGAATTATTATTACCGTTGCACACATGATCAACATATATGAAGTCAT